CACCCAGATGGCACCGGAGCAGCATGGAGCGTTCTGAACGAGCAACTGAAGTGCGCAAAGATGACAAGTATGGGTCACTTTCACGCTGTTACACACGCCATGCCTTTACTCGCAGGTATAAAGAAAACCTGTATGGTGTAGGAATAAATGGGACAAAGGAGACACAGGAACCGATGAAGACTGGTGCAGCAAGAGACGCCATGAGTTTGGGTTATTAAAAGGGAGTCAGATCTGATACTTAAAGCTTTGAGCAGACACTGCTAACAGAAAACTCCAGCTGATCAAGGAATCCCGGAGGCTGTCCCTACCAAGCAATACATATAGGTAGAACTGCATTACCTACAACAATTCCTTTATTTTCAGAAATGCTGGCTAAACAAGATGCCTCTGATCTAGGCAAGGGGATGGCTGAGATCAACAAATTTGTGGACGGAGCAGGATGTAGTGGCTAGTGCACAGGACAGGGTCAGGACTCCTGGGTTTCACATATAAATAGATTTTAAAGCTTGAAGGGACCATTATGAGCTACTCTGACCTCTCATACCACACAGACTGCAGAATTTCCCCCAGCGATTCCTGCAGTAAAAAACTGTGTAAGTCAAGGTTGAACTAGAGCATAACTTCATTTAAAGAGTCCAAGAGACAGCATTTGTTACACCGCTTGTTAAGCCATTCCAGCAGCTAACCCTTCCAGTGAAAGACTTAAATCTTTTGTCCAGTTTGAACTTTACCATCTTCAGCTGCCAGTGTTCTATCATCAACGGTGCCAGCAGCTCTGTACGTGACCTTGGGCAAAGTCAGGTAGCTGCACCGTGCCTCAGTTTACCCAACCATTAAAAATGGAGCCTATTTAATTACTATTTGGCCCGCATGCATACTAGAAGAATACCTTACTCTTTGCAATGTCCTTTCAAAGCTTTAGTGGAAGGGGGCTACATAGAAGTGCGAAATAATATGAGGTTTCCTGAACCAATTCGAAAACTCAATGCCTCCTACACACACAGAAGATTGGGAATATCAGGATTTAGCAGGTTTGTCATGCAACATTATCTGTTTCTAAAGTCACTTTCAGGGCTGACTGTACCAAAATGCAATCTACCCTAAAAATCTTTTTCAGACCATTTTGTCCAGGTCCTGACAAACCCATCTGCTCTGCAAAGCCACCCCTACCAAAACCCAGACTGCTGGGTTCCTTCACCGCCACTTGACTCACCCCTGTGTGCTGGCGAACAGTGGAATGGCATACTCTCTGGCAGCCTATGCCCCCAGACAGCAGTATTCGGATTCATCCGACACCCTCCCCACTCACAGCACCGGGGTGCCCCGGGCAGGGCAGCACAACACACACGTGCTCCACTCTCAAACAAAGCTGCTCCCGTAAGCCTCTTGCTGGGCCTGCCCATCTGGAGGGCACCCTAAGCCATTGCAACAGTGATGGCAGAAAAGGAGAAACAGGCTGCCATGGCAGGGGACGCTTCCGGGAGTTAGCCCAGAACTTGACAGAAACCTTGAGCAACAGCGAGAAGTGACGTTTCTCTGGAGAGCTGGGGGTTTTCCATCCCTTCCTGTAGAAGGGATTTCATCCCTTGTGGCAGGAACAGCTCTCATTAGTGGCTGGGATCTGGTGTAAACTGCTCTATTGCTGTAGTTTGCTAACCTGGCACCTGCTCATCTACACGTAGGGTGTAGCACCAGCGCAGTTATGCTAATTGATGGGCACGGAGAATTGGATCAGAGTGATTCCTCAGGGCAGACACAGTGCACCTTCCTAGGCGCAGATCTACAGGTTTTTATTTAAAATGAAAGTTAATGACTATGCAGGAAACCCACCAAACACAAACCTAGTGAAACTAACCCCAAGGTCATGCTCCTGCGTCTGCAGACAGCCAGAAACATCAGAGGCCACCCTCAGGCCGGAAAGCAGGATATTAGAGTCAGGAAAGAGCATCAAAACACCATTGGAAGCCCTGGACTAACTTCCTAAACTGTTGGGTCTGGGTGTGAAAAAGGAGCCATCGTTGTGGGTCACAGTGGGGCTCAAAGCTGGGACATTCAGCACCAGTTCCCACCAGCTAAGCACGCAGAGGTACTCCCTCGGCTACGTGGAGATCGCTCTGATCTTCGGAGAGAGCCAGGCGTGTCTGAAAGACGTGTGCATAGCAGCTTAGGGTGGAAGAACAACATCCCCACCACTAAAAGCTGCCCGAGTGTGAATCCCCACACATGCCCCACTCAACAAATATTTCTGCGCTTTGAGTCCACCTTGAGAAGTATCAACTCCCTCCCTACCCCGTGACCCATAACCCGGTGAGGGCAATCTGCCCAAATGGTCTTAGGCCCATGCAACATAAATGGTCACATGGAGCCCTCTCCATCCTTGTCCTAAATAAGGCTGCTTTACTCACAAACAGGTGCTCACTCCAGCAATTCTCACATGCCCTAGGCCAGGGGTTCTCAAACTTCATCACACCCCAACCCCCTTCTGACAACAAAAATTGTTACACGACCCCAGGAGGGGGGACCGAAGCCTGAGCCCACCCGAACCCTGCCACCCTGGGGTGTTGGGGGGGGTGTCAAAGCCAAAGCCCCATTGCCCCCCCCAGGGGGGCCTGTAATCTGAGCCCCAGTGCCCAAGGCTGAAGCCCTCAGGCTTCAGCCCCAGACAGTGGGTCACGACCCGGTTTTAATGGGGTCATCAGGACTGGCTTAGATTTCCTGGGCCCAGAAGCCAAAGCCTGGGGGACCCACTTTGGGATCCCAACCCCCAGTTTGAGAACTGCTGCCCTAGGCAATGGCGGTATCTCTAGCCCAGCTGTTGTAAGCACTGCTGACCCAAGTCCACAGGGCAATTCCTATAATGGGAGCCCAGTATCCAATTTAGCGGGAGAAGGCTAAAGCCACTGTCCTATTGGAAGCCTGGTACTGTGCCCTGCAATGCGGCTGGACAGGGAAAAGCATGCCACCTGTTATGAAGCTGGGCACTAAAACCCCTTGCTTAGGCCCAAGTGGATATTGCCTGGAAGGGTCCTGCTCAGGGGAAATGGAGAGGAGCCAGGTACAAGTTAGATGCAAAGGGTAGTAAGGCCTCGAGATGAGACCCAGGGAAATTAAGTGGGATGGGTCAGAGCAATGGGGTCTATTGAACTCTTCACCCCTAGATCACTGGTTCAAACTCAGCCCGACTAGAAATAGTTGCCATCAAACGGCTCTTTGTGGCCTACAGGAAATGAGCTGGTGGGTTTGAGTCCAGTCCTCTCCCGTGGGCTAGATCCACATGAGAGATCTCAGCAGAGGTCCAGGACTACAGACTGAACTATCCTTTCACCCCTAACTAAGATGTCACCAAGCCAGCGGGGAGAAGCATTCCACTGTACCCCCCTCCCCATTGTTTCTCTCCAGGCAGCAGCTGCTCTGGAAATCAACACAGGACTCCAGCCCACATGGCATCTTTCATGAGCACTACAACCAGCTCACGCACAGGTCAATTCGGGTGAGTCGACCCTATCCAAGGGGTCAGCACGAGGCCTGCGCATCTCTTACATCTTGGAGATGTGCCGATGACCTGGTGAAATCAGCACTTGAGCAGGTTCTTCGTTAACACAGGTCATTATTCTGAGCCATGTTATCATTACTCAATCACAAATACATTTAAGGAGTCCGTTAGGAAGCCAAGAGCTTTGAATGATCATAATGGCGCCTTCTGACTTTAAAAAGAGCTGTGAATTATTAAGTTAACGACTTTTTACAGTTTGTGTGCTTAGTCACACTTATTTTGTTAAGGCACATGAGTCTGTCCTACCCACACAAGTCTCAAACTTGCAAAAATTTATTTACGGGGAGAGGGGGTGAAATGTGGAGGTTCGCAGGGCTCAGGGGGCTCTCGACTGGAACATGTTTCACATAAACACAGCATTTGGGCCAATAAAGATCCCTCCATAGTTTAAAAAAAAAAAGGGTTCCGAACCGCTGCTGTCTCCCCCTTTCAAAGATTGCAATTGTAGCGGTTTTATTATTTTCAGAGGGCCCGTGTGGTAATGTTTGCCCAACCAATTGCTGGAATTCATACTGGGTTGGGATGGAGGAGCACATCTGTGAAAACCCATAAGTCCTTCCCTCTTTTCCTCCTCCAGGGAAACTTACTTGAAAAGTATACTTGAAAAGTTCAATATATACACACCCACTGAATAGCTCCTGATCTAATCTCCCTCCAACGCCTCTCATTGCACATTGACCTCCCCATAAATCAGGATTTAGAACAGAAAGTCTGACACACTGAACAGCTTTGTGAACTTTGCTAGGTGCCTACTGAAAACAAGACACTCGAAATCCAGAAACCAGTTTCTTCCTCTTTCAGCATCCTTCTCCCCCCCGACCTACACAGAGCAGAGACCAAATGGAATTGGGAGTCTGTGTAAATAAAAACAGGCGGGGGAGAGTTACCCAACCACCCCTGCTGATGGCTAAAGAGGACACCAACATGAAGCAATTTGCTTCAGAGCAGATACTAAGTGGCAAAGTTGGAGAAGACTCCCCAGGGGTCTCCAGCCTTGTCCTGACTCCTGGAATCCCAGATCTCTTGCTCCCAGGCTGCTCCTGTAATCCCTAGACCCCCTGCATCCATGCCTGTCCCCCAGAGCCAGGAACAGAACCCAGGCATCCTGGCTCCCCGCCCGCTGCTCCATCCACTGCGCCAGGGCTGTACGGCTCTGCAGCGGGCACGCAGCTCCAGGCCACACCGCCCCATCCCCCGATCGCTCCCGCACGGAGATCCGCCTTGAGCAGCCCCCCGGCCGCTCTAGGATGCCTCTTGCAACGTGGGAGCAGCCTTGCAAGCGGCTGCTAAACTTTGCAGGCTGCAGCCCATGAGCAGGGACCGGGGCCGGGGCAGGGATCCCCTGACAAGGGCCCGCCTTTGTTACCCAACTCCTCCCGCCCCAAACCCGTGCACCCCACCCGGGCGCCCCCCTAGCAGGGCTGCAGAGCGAGCGGCCGGCGCTTACCGTGCGCTGGGCCGGGCAATCAGCAGCCGCCCCGCCGGGGAGCCGCCCCGCTGCTCCGCCTCGGTGCCCGCTCCGGGCGCCCACCCCGCGCCTCCATCAGCCGCCCGCGGGGCGAGGGCAGACACCGCCTGCTCCTCTCAGCCTCCCTCCCCCGCTTCCCCGTCTCCCTACGCCCCCTCGGCTGATAGGAGCCCCCCGCACCAATAGCCGCGGCTCGTCCGCGCAATTCCGCAGCCTCATTGGTGTCTCCAGCCCCCCTGCTCGGTGGGGAGAAGGGAGGAGGAGCCTCGGGGCCCGCCCCGACAATGCGCAGCTGGTTAGTGGCTTCAGCAGCTGCCAGAGTTTGGAGTGTCATCAGCCTCGGACGGAGGAGGAGAAGGAGGAGGGTGGGTGGCTGGCTGGCTTGGAGAGCCTCCCCCAGGCTGGGATTGCAAACCTCGGGAGGCTAAAGAGGATAGAGCTGGGACGCGGGTGTCTTGGAAAGCCCAGCGCACGGGAGCAGTGGGTTTGGAGGGGCACTAGCTGCACTAACATCTTTTGGCGATGGTGGCGTGGGGCTGTGATGGGAAAGAGAAAACTTTTGTGAAAATCCTTGGTGAAGAGTCACAAAGGCCCCGGGCCTGAGGGGGTCTGGCTACATTTGAGGGTCTAGGCCAAAGGATCTGCCCAGGCTGGGGGTTCTCACACCTGCATCTCACAGTTGTCACTAGGGTGACCAGACAGCAAGTGTGAAAAATTGTGACGAGGGTGGGGGGGAATAGGTGCCCATATAAGAAAAATACCCCAAAATCGGGACTGTCCCTATAAAATCGGGATATCTGGTCACCCTAGTTGTCACTCCAGATCAAACACAGTACGGGTCTGTAGGGATCAGGAGTCATCACCAGTTTGACGCATCATTGGAATGAGCGAGCAGGAGTCTTAATCCATGTCGAAGGCATAGGCAGATCCAAGCTCCATAAACTAGAAACTGAAGAGTTTTCAAACTGTGAATAAAGTGGAATATTTGAACCGTGCTGGTAATTAACCATGGGATCAGATTGCCAAGGGACATCTGTTCTCCATCCTTGGAGTCCTTACATCTAGCTTCGGCGTTTCTTTAGGTCAGTGGTTTTCAGCCAGGGGTATGGGCTCCCCTGGGTACACAGAGGTCTTCCAGGGGGTACATCAACTCATCTAGATATTTGCTTAGTTTTACAACATAAAAAGCACTAGTGAAGTCAGTACAAACTAAAATGTCATACAGACAATGACTTGTTTATACTGCTCTGTATACTATACACTGAAATATAAATACAATATTTATATTCCAACTGATTTATTTCATAATTATATGGTAAAGATGAGCAAGTCAGCCATTTTTCAGTAATAGTGTGCTGAGACACTTGTATTTTGATGTCTGGTTTTGTAAGCAAGTAGTTTTTAAATGAGGTGTAACTTGGGGGTACACAAGACAAATCCAACTCCTGAAGGGGGTACAATCGTCTGGAAAAATTGCGAGCCACTGCTGTAGATTAGTCACGCTAGCTTCTATCACAAGCTATTGGGCTCAATCTCTAGCTCTGACCCACTCCTCTAGCAAGGTCCTGTGTCCTGAGCGTTTGCTGACCCAAGTCAGGCTGATGTGTGTGGATGGAATGGGCACTTGGGCTCAAACCTGAGTCAGACCCCGGGCTTAGTGTGCAGGGTAAACATACCCTAAGTGGGCTGACCTACCCCGGTGTTGAGCACCTTGCACGTGTCTAGAAGTTCTGGCCTAAGTAACTTGCCCAGGTTGGTGCTGAGCTGGGAATAGAATGTAGGAGTCATAGAAACACAGGACTGGACTGGACTTCCTGAATCTTTGAGTCCAGACCCCTGCTATGACAGGCAAACCAATCATATAATCCCTTTCATAAACTGACTCTTTGTTCCAAGCTGCCTCTTGCAATGGGGGCTTTGTGTGCCGAGGTGTGTTTGTGTAGCATTGGTGTCCTGAACTTGTTCTGCGGGATAGGAAAAAAATTCTTAAATTGGATGGATTAGAACTATCTTTCTTTCGCTGCTGGTCCTCTTCGCTGTTGCTAGTGATGACATGCCCTCAGTTGAATAGCGGCACTCATACTCTGAAAGAAAAAAATGCCTGGCTTGTCTATGCAGCCTGTAAGCTCGTCAAGTCAGGTATTGTCTCTTACTATATGTGTGTCCATTTTCTAGTTGACTTCAGTTTGTCCTCTCAATGCTAATATAATATAGCCTTATCATTTCCCCAAGCCAGCTTGGTTGGCTCGCTCTCTGATTTTAATACAGCCGTCTTTTTCTTCAGTTGTTCATAGTTTTCTATATGCAATTGGAAAAGGATAATTGCATTTCCCCATCTTTTGCAGTGGAGAACATTTGCTTGTTTTGATGAGCTTTTTTTAAAAAAAATGTGGATGTGTTTCTGGTCAATTTCTTTTAAAAGGGGCCTGAGAATCCCAGAAGTAATGGGAAAATTCAGGACCAGACAAAGGGGGGGGGGAGAGAGAGAGAGAGAGAGA